GAGAGAGAGAGAGAGAGAGAGAGAGAGAGAGAGAGAGAGAGAGAGAGAGAGAGAGAAACCTATGACCACTACTGAGTCCAAAATTTATGTTGCTAAGCAAAACATTTGTTAAGTGAATTTGGCCCCATTTTACGACCTTTCTTGCCACCATGGTTAAATGAATCACTGCAGTTGTTTACGTTAGTAAGATGGTTGTTAATGGTTTCCCCATTGAGTTTGCTTGTCAGAAGGTCACAAAAGCTGATCACGTGACCCCGGGACACTGCAACCGTCATAAATGAGTCAGTTGCCAAGTATCTGAATTTGGATCAAATGGCCATGTAGGTGCTGCAATGGTTGTAAGTATGAAAAATGGTAATAGGTCACTTTTTTCAGTGCCGTAATTTTGAACTGTCACTAAATGAACTGTTGTAAGTTGAGGACTACCTGTACTACTTGTATCTGTGTGCATTCTTTGGCATATATGAGGCCAGCAAATCTTTATGAGTACTCACACTTGCACCGCAAAGCTGGAGTACCTGTCCAGAGTGGGCAGCTGTGGCAGGAGAGGCCATACTGTTAACATACATCTCTACCTACAACAGGTGTGATTGTAAACATCATTCACAGAACCCAGTTTATATGCTAATGCAAGTGCGCTTGCTTTGCAGCAAAGTTTCACTCTGTAAATAATTGCAAAATAATGTTTAAAGAGCCCCTTTTTGGGGGGCACTGGAGCAAACACGGAAATGTACATTATACCCATGTAATGATTTACATAGGATGACTGTCTGTCTCTCTTTTATCTGCGGGAGAAATACAAAAACGCTCATTTATGTAGATGCTATAGGTAACCATTTGATTAGCATTGTAAAGAAAACATCTGTTTTAACAGGATATGAAAGTGTAGATCAGGATTGTGATGATCAAGATTCCTATATTCCTAGAAAAGGTCGATATCAAAAAAACATACCTCCCGAGCGTGGGAAAGGAAGGACGACAGGAAACCAGAAAGGTCCTTAAAATAAAGCTTGCTCAAAATACTTATCGTTACAGGATATCAGCACAGATAATTTAGTAACATCTTTACTTTATCTACTATCATACTGACAGCTGTTGTTTCCTGTTTAGGTAACCAAGTACAATATAAAAGCACATTAAAGAAACCATTTGGAGTCTTTCTCAGCCTTACCGGATAGGGGTGTCAAACTCATATCATCACGGTGGCGTCACATGACGTATCGCCCCCTTCGCTAAACTGGGCATGGGCGTGGCCAGTGCGTGACGCATCTGGCCTGTGGGCCGTGAATTTGACAACCCTGTTATAGGACAACCAACCTTTCTCCATATCTCAACAAACGTGTGACTTAGAGAGAATTTGACTTAGTCTCTTTGTTTGTGCGGAGTCAGACTTAGTACTCCTGACTAACAAAGGGAAGGATTGTGCACCAGTGGAGCATGAGATATTCATGCTAAAAAGTATTGTAATAGGACAATGCATTCCATCCATCTTGATAATGATTGGCTAAATCTATAAGCCAGAAAACTATAAGAAGAGAGATAGAGGTGCAGTCCCTGTCATCTAATGTTGCTTGACAAACTTGGGTTGAATAAATGTTTTTGCTTTGACTTTGTGAGATACAATATAATAAGTTGCAATTTTCCATTAATACCGTAATATATTTCACAATTTATATGAAGTTTGTCTTTTGTTCAAGATACTTGGAGTTAGCATTTTAACCAGAGGTGGTATTCAGCAGGTTCTGACCAGTTCTGGAGAACCGGTAGTGGAATTGAGTAGTTTGGAGAACTGGTAAATACCACCTCTGACTGGCCCCACCCACATCTATTCTCTGCTTCCTGAGTCCCAGCTGTTGTATGGGGAATGGGGATTTTGCAGTACCCTTCCCCTGGAGTAGGGAGGGAATAGAGATTTTACGGTATCTTTCCCCTGGAGTGCGGTGGGAATGGAGATTTTACAGTATCCTTCCCTTGCCACGCCCACCAAGCCACGCCATGCCCACCAAGCCACGCCCACAGAACTGGTAGTAAACTTTTTTGAATCCTACCACTGATTTTAACATATAGCCATACTACTACATATACAAGGTATAACCATGATTACATTTACTTTTCAATGGTATTGCTGATTTAATACATTATAGATACTAATTTATTTTTAGCTGTTCTTAAGTTTCCATGAACAAAGAAAATAAAGTTAAGTCTAACCTTGGGAGGACTAAGAATGTATCTAACACAAATCTACTTTTCCCTTCTCAAATGTTTCTTTCACTTGGGCAATGTTCTTTTCTATGGCTATGTTGCAATTCTTGTGAAACAAGAGAACCGATAAGGGAATTTCAAAGAAGTGAGACATGAGAGGGATGAGTGCTTAGCAAGTTTGGGTGACAATCAGGGCTTGACTAACTTTAAACATTTAGGGGAGATAATAGATTATAGGTGGTCGGAAAGCCATATGATATAACTGTGCCTATCAACCAGGCCTGGCAAGGATGGACAAGTGGCTGGTGATAGAAATGTATAAAATATACTGAGGTCTGTAACAGGGTGTGGATTTCTGTTGCTGTGCCAAACAGAAGTTTCACTAGCTCTTTGCAAGAAGCTTTTAATAAATCTTACATCTGGTTGACCCAAGTATTGTGTGAATTTGTTACACACAAAGAAGAGAGGCAAGACAACTGATAAAGTAGGGACCTATGGATTGTACTCCTTCTCTCTTATTAATACTGTTTGGAACCGGTGGGAGATAGAAAGAGAACCAACATACTCCAGTGCCTCAGACCCCTAACTCCAAGAGCGATCCAGAAAGATACTAAGAACACACAAACACAGGTATGAACTGCAATTCTTACTAATTTAATATAAGCATACTACATAAACACACATATGATTTGCAACTTAATCAATGCTTAATACATAACTATACCCAAGCACCATCTGCAACTCTTAACACATTTAATCAATGCACAATAGATAAATACACAAGCGTGACCTGCAGCTCTTACTAATAAACACATTGTAAGGTTCAGAGATGCACTTAAGTCAACATGGAACCAAAGAGAAGGACTTAAGCAGAGGCTTGTAAGAAGTAACAGCTTTTATTTTGTGTATTAGACTGTATTTTTATTGAGTTCACTTTCACTGGGTATACTGCGGCTTTAGTGGTGTAGTACTCCTCTTCCAGTAGATGGCTCTCTTATTCCCAAATCCAATGTTAAACAATCTGTCAAAAACGGCTGATTATTGATAAATCTAGAAAGTTTAGAAATACAAATAAACATGAGCGTTTCTTCCGAAAATCACCTTTTAAATTGTTTAAGCTGTTTTTCAGGTTTTCTGTGTTTTAAAGCTTCCCTTGGGCTTCTTTCGCCTCTTGATTTTCAGTTTTTTTCCCTTGCCGCTTGCTTAGGCTTGGAAGTTCTTTTTTAGAATTCTTGTACTTAAATCAGATGGTAATTATCTCACTCAGTTTCAATGCTCTGTCCGCGAACCGTTCCAGCACAAATCTTACAGTCTGTTGTCCCAGCTTTGTGACTGCCAAAAATGGCCATTGTCCCTGCTGCCATTTGGGAGAGCTTGCTTTGGACCTAATGAGGAAATTGCCAGTTCTTCGTGGTCAACAAAGCGCCTCTCCTTCCTTTACTGCCCCTACAAGGCAGCTATGACCCCATGGGTCTCCCAACAGCGGTTACCAGCTGGATTTCGCAAGGCACGGCTGAGTCTACTATTTTCCAGCAGTTCTCGCCGCGACATCAACAGGAAGTCTCTCCCTTTGTTTTCTTCTATCTTATCTTCTACTGGGCCCCTTGATGCTGGAGGGAATGGGACTGAGTGCTTAGCAACACAGGTCAGAAGTGTAAGCCAGAGCTGGGGTCAAAAGTGTAGCAGAGTACTCCATATGTTCCCGATGTGTGAACTCTGACAGGCAATGATATATGCAGCTTCTGAGGTATGCACAAGGCACTGGGTTGCACAGAAAAACAAGATTTAGATTGATGGCAGAAGCACATGTTTTACAGATGCCAAAAGTTTTACAAAGGCCAAATGTTTTATACAGACCAAATGCAGGTTAAATTAATTCCACTACTAGCAGAAGCAATTCTTACAGAAGCAAGTAGCAAGTTAACCTCCTCCTCCTCATTATTATTTCCCTTAACCTAGGTAATTCCATTATTATGTCCCTTCAGCATGATGCCTTGTGAGATTTAAAATTCTCAGTTTGAATCAACAGGAGACATTGTGAACAATACAAGAACTTTATTATTAGAACTTTTGCAAAAGTTGGCTTTCTATGCTCATGTGGATAAAGTCACAGAAGAGCAATGATACATATGAATACAAGTTTTAAATCCAGTTTCAAAAAAACCCCACCCCATCAACGCCCCTCATCATCATTGGTCAGTTTACATCAGATAAGTATTGGCTGTACAATCCTAACAGCTAGTTTCCCAGACATGCTATCCCCCTGATAGTTGCTACATCTTGATAATTACAACACTATTAATTTGAGCATGGCAGCTGTTTTCCCTTTCCTGCCAATGGTAGTTTGGCCTGGACTGGAATGCACTAATCAAATCAACAGCCTTGTTATTTCCTGAAGCCTCATATTCTTACATAATTCCAAAGCTACTGTCCCAAAACTGGTGTCTTACGTTATACAGAGGATAAATATGGTGTTATTCTTGCTCTTTTCTTTACATGAATAATTCTCATTTCTCTCATGCCCTCTGAGGGGTTGCATATTATGTAGATTGCTTAAGTTGCTAAAAATGTAAGAATCTAGCTAGGAAGATTAGGAAACTGCCACAAGGAAAAGGAAGTGAGAGTCTGGGAAACTGCTGACATATGCTGAATTAGCAATTTCTAGGCAAATTCTGTCTAGAATTAGGTTAACTTAGCCTTTCCATCTTTCAAGGGTGGTTAAATGAAGACCCAGATTGTTGGGGGCAATATGCTGACTCTGTAAATCGCTTAGAGGGTTGTAAAGCACTATGAAGCGATATATAAGTCTAAGTGTTATTTTTATAAATGAGCCAACAGGGAAGGTTGCTTCAATTCCCTGAAGATGAAAACCTACCATAAACCTATCATAAAAGCCATAAAAAGCTCTGTCTACATATCTTGTATTCCTCCTTCTGCACAGCATTTCAATGGAATTTAACTCACAGCTATGATTATGGGCTCCCAACAAAATTTTCCCCAACAAAAACAATTTGGTTGCCACATTCTGTAGCAGTTTCACCTTCTAGACTAGGGGTGTCCAAACTTGGGAACTTTAAGACTTGTGGACTTCAACTCCCAGAATTCCCCAGCCACCTGGGAGTTGAAGTCCACAAGTCTTAAAGTTCCCAAGTTTGGACCAAGCACACAGAGAACTTTGGGTCTCTTACCTGCTTGGGAGAACAGAACCTAAACAATTGCTTGTCCAAATATTATACTTTCTGTTAGTCCCCTCTCCAAACCCACTTTAAAACAAGCCTGTAGACATACACGAGTTGCGACATAATCCGACGCCTTTGGGTTGCCGGGACGACGAAAACTGAAAGCAGCCCTCCCCCTCTCCAACCCACCGGGGAATCTCAGAGATCGTTCGATCGAGGCCGAATCCTTAGAATCCTTGAGGGAGTCTCGCGGCGCTCGAAAACACTACATTACCCAAAGTGCTTTGCTGTCACCCAGCGACGCTCTGGGAATGCCAAGCCGGGCTGCCTGGCGGGTGAGCTCCGCGGCCCTTGGAAGGGCTGCGTGGGGCTGAGGGCGCCCATATTCTGAGGGAATGAAGGAGCGACGGTTTCTGAGCCGGGCGGGGCGGCACCGGCCTGGCCTGTGAGGGAAAGGAGGCGAGCGACCCAGGCTCCGCGATGAGTTGTCGCTACGGAGGCGGAGGGATGGTTTGCTCGCTCCTGGATCTGTAAGTGGCCGATCCTCTCAGAGCCTCCCGTCACCGAGGAGATTTCTCTCCCGAGCCCCGAACTCCCCTTCCTTCCTTCTTTCATCCAGCCTCCTTCCGTCTCTCCCCTGCGGTTTATTTCTTCGATGCCCGGCTAAATAACGGGAGCAACGCCCGCGGCCCCTCAGGAATCTTTTAATTTTAATATTAATATTAATATTTACTTTATTCATTAAACATGAAGCTCAGCCAATTGAACATTCAGAAATGCATCACAAATACCAGTGACTGGTGCTAATGGTTGATACGGGTTGCTGCCAGCGTCCTATAGGTATCAACCAAGTACCTTCTTAAAATATAAGATGTTCCGAGGAGCGCAGTTTTTTGCAGTTCCGCTGGTGTTATTGCAGGAAGCTGCAGTTTTTGGATGTATCTTGTACAATTCTTGGAAATGGTGCCAAGTGCCCCGATGACAGTGGATATCACTGTTACATGCTTCATCCATAGCCGTGTAATTTCGATGGCCAGGTCGCAATATTTCGTTATTTTTTCTAGATTTTTTTCCCTTAGATTCTGGCATCTCCAGGAACAGCAATATCAATAAACTGTACACTTCGGCCCTCTACAACTGTGATATCTGGTGTGTTGTTGTTGTTGTTGTTATCATCATTATCATCATCAGGAATCTTAATATTTATTATTATTATCATTATCGTCATCATCATCAGGAATCTTAATATTTATCATCATCATCATCATCAGGAATCTTAATATTTATTATTATCGTTGTCATCATCAGGAATATTATTATTATTATTATTATTATTATTATTATTATTATTATTTATTCATTAAACATGAA